ATATATATATATTATTATTATTATAAAAAAAAAAAAAAAAAAAAAAAAAAAAAAAAAAAAAAAAAAGAACGCAAGACATAATATATAACTATGACTATTTTACATTTTATAATAAATAAAGTTTCATTACTAAGTCAATGTATATTTTATTAATGAGCGTGAATTTTTTTTCTATTAATGATTTTTGAATATGATTTATATTAATAACATATCTTGTACAAGTACATGCTTTAGTATTATAATACTGAATAAAATGGTATGATATGAAACATAATTTGAATTTTGTTCAACAATTAAAATAAAAATTTGCCTCTAATTTAAATATATTAAATTAAAGCATATCAAAAAATATATATGTATATTATTTTATATATTCTTATAATTTTATAACATAATTACATTATATTATCTTTTTGCTTGCTTATATTAATTATTAAAATTGCAATTGAAATAAAGGTTATATTTTTTATATAAATATAGGAGAAAAAAATGTAAAAGATAGTCCAGTAATAGAAGAACATGGAGATGAAGAAAATGAAGATGAAGAATGTGAGGAAGTAGGTGAAGTAGATGATGTAAAAGAAGAAGATGAAGATGATGATGATGACGATGATGAAGATGATGATGATGAAGATGATGATGATGATGATGATGATGATGATAATGATGATGATGATGATGATGATGATGATGATGATGATCAAAACTCCATTACTTTTGAAAAAAGAGCAACTTTGCTCACTAGGACAAATAAAGACAGTCAATGGGAGCCTGTAGCATTAGGAAATTTAATTATTTATTATGATTCTAATATCTTTGGTGAAAGAATAATATTAAAAGCAGATAAAACAGATGAAATTGTAAGCAATACAATTATTAGTATGAATACTAAAATGGAGGTAAAAATATATAAATATAATATTAAATCATAATTTAATTGATATCAAATTAACTAACACTAATTCTTTTTTTATTAAGGTTAATGAAAAAGAATGTGTTTGGACAGCAATCGATTATGCTTTAACACCACCAACAAAACGTACTTTATGTGCCGTTTTTTCATCAGTTCATGTCGCACGGGAAATGCACAAACATTTTCAAGAAGTAAGTAAAAGTCTGATATAGAGTATGAAAAGATTATAAAAATTAATTATTGATTTTAATAGGGAGTAGAATATGCATACCAAGCAGATATCAGCGAACCATTTTATGAAGAATAAAATAAAGCGATTCCTCATTTTTCTTATAAGAAAGTATTGTATCTCTTATTCTCCTGTAAACATATAAATCATATTTAATTTTAATTTAATTTTAATTTATAAGATAAATAATTTCAATTCCATCTATTTTTATAGGTGTAATTATGTAATAAATAATTGTACAAATTATTTAAGAATTTACGAGCAAGTAAATTTTCATCAATTTTGATGCATTATAAAAATTTCTTGTTTTAATAGATCAAAATACTTGATTAATATAATAATTGTATATCTAACAATAAATTCGAATTTAACATGTGATATAGAACTTTATTGATATTTATAAAATTATTTATTACAATAAACGTGCGTACATATCTTAAGATTTAATTTCTTTTAATACTCCTCAAAAATGAAATTAAATGAATCTATAGTAATAAATAACAAATTAAATTCCTTTTTAAGATATTTATTATTATTGTAATCAGTTATATTTTTGAATGTATTTCATAATTTACTTTTAAAATATATTATAAATAATATATAAAATAATATTGTATACTTAATAAAATAATTTGTTATTAACAGGATTGGGATAAGATTTTTTTTCTTTTTTCATCAAAATTTTAGTATTATAATAATCTAATTTTGATTTGATCATAAAAACTGTAATTATTAATGAAATACATTTTGCTCATAAATAAAAGAATTTAGTAACATCATCTCGTAAACGAAGGTTTCGATTTATTAGTAGAAACAGAAAAAAATATTTGTCATTATAGAAAACAAAAGCAACATTACACAAAAAAGAGAAATATGACAATTTTGATTATGCAGATTAATTCTCTCACTGTCGGAAACGTAACATTGAAAATTAATTATTAATTTTTTATTAAAAATTTTTGCATTATATAATAAAATTTGCATAAACTTGCAAAATTTTAAGCTTCAAAACTAAAAAATAATTTGCTTATGTAAATTTTAACAGGAAATAATTAATTAATTATTTATCAATAATTATCATAAAGATTATTTTAATTGCAAATTGTCAATTTATAATGGAATAAACAACCAATTTATTCACTTAAATAATAACAAAATTATAAATAAAAATTATATGTGAATATAATAAAAAAAATATGTAAAATGCATATATTATATTTAAAAGTAAATTTCATAATAATGAATTTAATAATAAGCATAATAAGTATTTCTTCATGGAATGTGTGATATAAAATATAAAACAACCTTTAGACTGAAATTATGATAATAGAAATATCAACTTCATATCTATCATTTTAACTTAAGTAATGTCAATAATTCAAGAATTATTTTATATTTTATTTCTATATTTTTTGAACTCAAAGAATATTTAAACTTAATGGAGTTGAGATTGAAATATTTTAAGCTTATTAATATTCTTCAAAATAACTTTTATTTAGTTATTAACTAATATTTAGTTATACATATACATATATTAGTTGTGATTTACGATGTGTTTTGGAAACATCATACAATAATTCGTTAACTGGAAATTTCTGAAATAATTTTAAACGTTTTCTTTACAAAAACTTCCGTTATAATTTTGTTAATGAATTTAATAAATATTGACCAATTACGAATGCGTAATCTAATTGAATTGCGAATTAGTTATGTGCCGCTGATTGAACACGAACAAGTTCAAACAATATATATTAAAAAAATGTATTAAATATGATAAATATTTTCTTATTAATAAAAAATTATATCACAAATAAACTATAATATTCAACATATTTTCTTTGACATATATTGCTTAGATGTTTTCATACATGCATCTTTAAAAACATATAACTTGATATCGTAAATTTTTATAATAATGATATTTTTTAGATTTTATTTATAGATAAAATCATGATTTCTACTCAAATATTAAAAATAAATTTTATTATTTTTTTGATTCTAGAAATAATTCATATTTTAAAAGGCGCGGTTTGCGTTCCAATTTGTGTAATCCATTGATAAAAATCTTATGAAGCTGTATGATCTTTTAATTGAACACGTGTATTTTTTTCTTTGATTCATTCCTATTCATCGAATTATTATTGATAAAAGTAATGATAATCTTTTCTTTCACTCTTTCTTTGATAGATCATATAGATTGATTTGATCTCTGACTAAGATAATAGTATTAATTGATCAATAAATTGTTGATTTAGTTGAAAATTACATCTTGATATTTTTAAATTGATATTTCTTTTGACGTAATAATTTCCCCATTAAATATTCACCAATATTTTGTATAATAATTAATGTATAATCTAATGTAATATTTAGTTTAGATAGTTTAGTTGGTTTATCATGTATTATAAAATGAATATGGAATTATCTAAAGTGTAAATATCTAAAGTCATCCCCACCCAAAGAAAAGATATTTTTTAATATATTACGAAATGAATGATATTTCAATTTTTTCCTTTTCTTTCATTGATTATTCTCTTCTATTCTATACTGAGTAAAATATGAAGGAAACTTTGAACTTTGAACTTTAACTATATGACTTGAAATTTTTCTAGTGGAATAAATTCAGTTTAAAATTTGATTGTCTTGCAATTATAATAATTTCTTATTAATAATATATTAAAATATTAAAATATTAAAATATTTTGTTTATTATTGAATTTTCTATTTTAAATTTATTTTAATTATAAAGTAATTTATTTCACAATGTCTCTCGCAACAAAAGGTATGTAGAATTCTATTTATTACTATTATTATCTATTTAAAAAAATAGAAAATATTTTGTTAAATTATTTATCAAAATTTTCATTTTTTTTTTAACATTTTTAGAAATATAAAACAAAAAAGAAAACTAATAATAGAAAGAATAAGTTATATATTAAAAAATTTTGATTAAATTTGTAAAAAATATAAATTGTATAAATATAAATTTTTTATACTAGAAAAGATTATTTTAATGTAAAATCATAATTATAAGTATTTTAATTAAATATATAAAAAAATTATATATTAAAATTATAATTTTCTTTCCCATAGGAATATTTATTGTAGCTGCAAAACGTACTCCATTTGGTACATTTGGTGGTAAATTTACAAATAAAAGTGCAACTGATTTATCAGTTATTGCTGCTAAATCTGCTTTGCAATCTGCAAAATTAAATCCTAAAAAAATAGATAATGTTATTTTTGGACATGTATTACCAGTATGTATAATTAAGCAATTTTTATTATTATTTTTTTTTAAATTTTATAATTATTATTATTATTATTATTTATATTTCATATTTTTTTATAACATTTATAATTATTATTTACAAGATATCATCAAGTGATGGAGGTTTTTTTAGCACGTCATGTTGCATTAAAATCTGATATACCATTAGAAAAACCATCATTTTCATTAAATAGATTATGTGGTTCTGGATTTCAATCAATTGTCAGTGGTACACAGGTAGATTTCAGAGAGAGATTTTAGATTCATAATATGATATTAAAAAATTAAAATAAAATTGATTTATACTAAATATTATACAAACATTTTCAGAGTATTTTATTAGGAGAATCTAAGATAGTTTTAACAGGAGGAGTAGAAAACATGAGTCAAGTTCCATTTGCTGTAAGAAATATTCGTTTTGGTACAAATTTAGCACAAAAATATCACTTTGAGGATGTTTTATGGCTTGGATTATCAGATACTTATTGCAATTTAGCTATGGGTGAAACTGCAGAAAAACTTGGATCACAATATAATTTAAAAAGACAAGAAGTAGATGAATTTGCTTTAAGAAGTCAGCAATTATGGAAAGCTGGTAAATATAATTGTATTTTTTATATTAATTATTTAAATTATTTTATTATTATTTAAATCATCACAAATGATAGAAATATTAAAATTGAATATTATTTCAGCTAATGATGCTGGTCGTTTTAATGAGGAGATTGTACCTGTTACAATAACTGTAAAAAAGCAAGATATTATTGTAAATACAGATGAACATCCACGGCCTCAAACAAGTCTTCAAAATTTAGCTAAATTACCTTCTATTTTTAAAAAAGATGGTTTAGTTACAGCAGGATCTTCATCTGTATGTTGAAACGCGTTTTATTATTTAAAGTTAATTATAAATATATGGATATTTCATGTTTTCTAAATAATAATTTTTATTAGGGTATTTCTGATGGTGCAGGAGTTATTATCTTAGCGAGCGAAGAAGCTATTAAAACAGAACAACTTACACCACTGGCACGTTTGGTGGGATATAGTGTTGTAGGTGTAGAACCTAGTATTATGGGAATTGGTCCAGTTTCAGCTATACAAAAACTTCTTAAAGTTACAAATAAAAGTTTGAATGATATTGAACTTATTGAGGTAAAATGTTAAATATCATTTTATTTAAGTATAAAAATATTAATAAATATTAAATATTTATTTATTTGTTATATAGATTAATGAAGCATTTGGAGCTCAAACATTGGCATGTGCCAGAGATTTGAAATTGGATATTAATAAGTTAAACGTGGATGGTGGAGCTATTGCTGTTGGACATCCATTGGGTGCATCTGGTAGTAGAATTACTGCACATTTAGTACATGAATTAAGGTACGTAAATATAAAAAATATAAAAATGCGTTTTAATTAAAATTAGAAAAAATAACATCATATACATATATACTTGCAGAAGAAGAAAAACTGGAAGCTTAGGAATTGGTTCTGCTTGCATTGGTGGAGGTCAAGGAATAGCTTAATGATAGAAGCACTTTAATCATTGATATATATATATATATATATATATTTGTCTATTTTTATTATTAATATATACAATATATATTTTAAAGATATTGAAAAATTTCTATTTTTATATTATGATATATTACATATTAAATACTTATAAAATTTTTTTATACTTATTGAATGAAAATTTTGAATAAATATTTTACAATTAATAATATTTAAGTAAAAGTTTTTAAAAGAGTAAAAATAGAATATGATGTACGTAGAATCTAAAAGTTATTAATAAATTAGAAAAAATTATGATATAATAAAAAAAAAATATATATATATACATACTAAGAGAAAATTTTGTAAAGATAATTCCATTCCACCTTTCCAACAATTATAATAAGAGGTATTTGAGTTCTTATCATTATAATGAGTAAAGCATAATTAAAATTTTTATTATTATTCCACCAATTATTTTTATAAGCAGATAAACATATTTTCATGCTCTGAAAAATATATTTTTTGATAAAATTATTATAATTAAAGTTTTTGCAATTACATACATGAAGATACAGTTCATTTCCATGCCAGCAATAAATGAAAATTTGATATATCATACAACACATATAGAGTAATGAGCCAAAAAATTCAGGTGTAATATAATTTTTGATCTGTAAATATAATATATACAAAATATGATTACATAAATAAAAAAAATCATAATTAATAGAAAAAAAACTAAAAATTTACCTGTGATACATTGAATGCTGCTAAACAAACAATAATGCAATTTACAAAAAGTTGAAAAAATATTATAATACCAAATATATCTTGGATCTGTTTTGTAAAACTAAAAATATATAATAATTTATATATAATTTATAATATAATAATTTATATATAAGTTGAAAAATAAATGTTATCCTTCATTGAAGTACTTACTCAAATATTATAATACTGTGTTCAACACAGTATTTCAAACTTTCATAAAATTTATTATAAATTTTTGAAAGAGATTTTTCAATATTGACATTATTATTTCTAGCAATACATTTTTTTATTAAAATTGAAGATTCTATTGATTCTACTGTATAATGTATTGAAGATATATTATAACTTAAAATCGTTAATTGACAACACGTAATTATTATAAAACCTGTTATAAGAGTATCTATTGCTATATTGTTAATGCAATTTATGAGGATAACTAGAACTTGATGCAACCAAGTAATTTCAAAAATTGGTGTAGATGTTACATTATAAGGATACCATCCTGCTAATGGTAATTGTTTAGATTTTTCACTGAATACACTTTGTAATGGTATACAACTATAGAAAAATATAGATATGCTCGCAAAGCCTTGATAAGCTATATAATGAAAAATTCCTTGCCAATTATAATATGATATAATATGTTTATATTTATCGTTATCTCGATTAAATATTTCACTGTTTGTTATATCTACAAGATTTTTGATACGTTTATATTGACAAATAATATAAATCACCTATATGTAAAAGCAAAAAATAGAATATATATCATACATATATCTAATAGAATACTTCTATATATATATATATATATATATACTTAATAAAATATATTATGTAATAAAAATGTATGTATGTATGTATAAAAAAAACAATTTTAATTTTTTTATATTTAACAATATACGATTAATAATTATTTGTTTAATTATTTTGTCATAAAATTATTAATTATATTATAATAAAATGTAATTTTAATTATTACGATTTTGTACAATAAAATTTTTTATAATAAAATTAATATCATATGATTGTATAATTACTATAATAATTATGCATATAAAATTATACTCACTTTTGCAGCGTACGTAGAATTTGTCATAAGAATAGTTAAACCAATCATCATTAATTCTATCTTTCCCCAATTTATAATAATATATATGATTTCGCTAACAATGATAATTCCTACTAAAAATATTAAACTACAAATTGCATATAAATTATACAAATATTTATATTTGACACGATCAGGCCATAAACCAACGTAATAAATAATAGATAAACTGTTTTGTAAATGTTTATTAGGATTAATTTTTTTTAATTTAGTTTCTTTTTTCAAATAATTAATCATTTTCCTAAACATCACCAAAATCGTACAACTTCGAAATTTATGTTTAAACTGAGAATGTTATCTATGTTTCTATCAATTTCTCTTTTGCTAAAGGGATTCTAATATTTACATCATAGAATTGTAACATTTAATTAGAAGATTCTCAAGATTATAGGACGATTTTATGATAGCCTATAATCATATTAAGTACTTCCTTGTACTCATATTTAATTAAATGATATTTGAAAGGGACAGTTTCTCGTGCTATAATCATTTATAATATGTAGTTATATCGTTGGAATTCATCATTAATATTTTATGATACAATATTATTATATCTTTTTATTATTTAATTGACTAAATACATTTCGTAAAATAAAATATTACAAATTTTTAGAAATTTAATTCAATTAAATATTATATATAGATTTCATTTTTCAATTAAATTAAGAAAGAAATAAGTTTTTTAATTTAGATTAAGTGTTGCAAATTTGAAAGAAATCGAGAGTATATTTCAAATTATTTAACTTGATTATATAAAGTAGATTTAATATATATCGTATATAAAGTAAAGTGCTATTGTGAAGACGTGGCACGATAAACAGAATTATCGTATACGATATACGAATGGTAGGGAGAATCTATAACTTATTACTAGTTATTATATTTTTGTCAATCAAATATCTTTAAATTTATCAGGATATTTACAAGATACATGATATATATCAATATGATAAATAAAACATAATAATAAAATTATTATTTAAATCTACTATTTGAGTTAATTTGATAATTCGTAAGTTGCTTATAAGTTGTTCCAATTATTAAAATTTAACGAAATATTGATGATATTTTTATTGTTTATAATTATAATTATTTAATAATTGTGCAACTTTAATATTGAAATTATAAAGAAATGGCATCTGTTACAATATTAAGCAAAGATGTGCCCGATATCGAAGTGAGTATCTATCTTGTTTCTTTAAGATATATTAAGATTATATGCGTATTTTTAGAATATATTTTAATTTAATTATAAATATATATTCTCTCTTAGAATCTTTTACATTTAAATCCAAAAATAAAACCATTTGCGAATGTTGTTCCATCAGCACTCACCAAAGAGAATAAAAAAAAATGGAAAAGAAACATTAATGAAAATTGTAATGTAAGATATAATATAAAATTAAATATCTTTTTAGAACAAAATACTATATTTTTTAAAATAACAATATAAAATATTTTTGTAATAATTATTATAAAACCATTATATATTATTATTTATGTTTATAGAAATGTTCACCTTTGACAAAAAATTTCGATGACATTAAACATACAACATTAAGCGAACGTGGTGCATTAAAAGAAGCTGCGCGTTGTTTAAAATGTGCAGATGCTCCTTGTCAAAAATCATGTCCAACACAATTAGACATTAAATCTTTTATTACTTCTATTTCAAATAAAAATTATTATGGGGCAGCAAAAGCAATCTTATCTGATAATCCTCTTGGGCTTACATGTGGTATGGTTTGTCCGACAAGTGACCTTTGCGTAGGAGGATGTAATTTGCACGCATCCGAAGAAGGACCTATTAATATCGGTGGTCTTCAACAATTTGCCACAGATGTAAAAAATTAATTCTTTGATTGTTTTTCATTATATTAAATATGAATTAACATATAAAAATAACTTTTTTTTTAGATTTTTAAACAAATGAATATATCTCAAACTAGAATTCCTGGACAAAAGGTTTCGTATGCAGACACTAAGATCGCCTTGCTCGGCTGTGGACCAGCTTCTTTATCTTGTGCAACATTTCTTGCACGTTTAGGTTATAATAATGTAATAATTTTTGAGAAACAAAATTATATTGGTGGATTGAGCTCATCAGAAATTCCACAATATCGGTTACCATATGATATTGTTAACTTTGAGATTGATCTTGTCAAAGATTTAGGAGTGAAGATTGAATTGGGTAAAGCATTATCCAAGGATAATTTAACGATCGAGGTTGTTATGTATAACATTATAATTACAATTAATTAAGAATTCTAAATTAAATTAGTAATTAACAAATATTAAAGATTATTTCATTTTAGGGTCTCCAAAATTCTGGATATAAAGCGATCTTTTTAGGAATCGGTCTTCCGGAAGCAAAAGCTATTCCAATTTTCTCAAATCTTACAGAAGAAATGGGTTTTTTTACGTCAAAAAGTTTTTTACCAAAAGTAGCAAAAGGTAGTAAACCGGGAATGTGCGCATGTAAAAGAAACGAATTACCTTCTCTTCATGGTAAAGTTGTTGTCCTCGGAGCTGGAGATACGGCTTTCGATTGTGCTACTTCTGCTCTAAGATGCGAGGCAAAGAAAGTTTATGTAGTTTTTAGAAAAGGATTTACTAATATTCGAGCAGTACCTGAAGAAGTAATTATTGCTATTATTTTAATTATCTTATTAAAAATATTCTTTCTTCTATTATTCTATATATAATATATAATTTTTTTTTATTTTAGTTTGATTTAGCAAGAGAAGAAAAATGTGAGTTTATTCCTTTTCAATCACCGAAACAAGTTATTGTTCGAAACGGAAAAATAATTGCAATAGAATTTTATCGAACAGAAGAAAATGAAAATGGTGAATGGATAGAAGATAAGGAACAAATTTGTAGATTAAAAACTGATTTTGTAATATCTGCCTTCGGGTCAGGATTACAAGATCAAGATGGTAATAATTTTAATTATGTTAAGATTTTATTTCTTCAAGAGAGATATTAAAAAGAATTGTACTTTTGTAAAAGTAATACAAGCTATGGTACCCATTAAAATGAATAAATGGAACTTACCGGAAGTAGATTCACAAACCATGAGCACTTCTGTTCCTGGAGTTTTTTGCGGTGGAGATCTTGCTGGAATTGCTCATACTACTGTTGAATCTGTAAATGATGGCAAAACTGCTGCATGGTATATTCATAAATTTATTCAGGTATATTTTTAAAAATTAATAATTATTTATAAACAAAATATTTTAAACAATTTTTTTTATTCTATGTTTAATAGAATTCTTATAATTTGGAAGTACCTAAAATTCCTCAATTACCTAAATTTCATACTCCAATCGATGATGTTGATTTATCTGTTGAAATATGTGGTTTAAAATTTGAAAATCCCTTCGGTCTTGCTTCTGCACCACCGACCACTTCTAGTACCATGATTAGACGAGCTTTTGAAGCTGGATGGGGTTTTGTAGTTACAAAAACATTTTCTTTGGATAAGGTAATTTAATTTAATTATTCTTATTTAAAATTTCTTATTTAATATTTTTATAAAATAATGTTTTAGGATCTTGTCACAAATGTGTCTCCACGAATAATTAAAGGTACAACTTCTCGACATCATTATGGTCCGGAACAGGGCAGTTTTTTAAATATTGAATTGATATCTGAAAAATCGGAAGCTTATTGGTGCAATAGTATTATAGAATTAAAAAAAGATTTTCCGACTAAGGTTTAAAGATAACATATATACAATTATATAAATTTATTATTATATAAAATTTTTAATTATTTGTATGAATGTATTTGATGATAATGAAAATTGAAATTTATTTTTAGATTCTTATTGCTAGTATTATGTGTTCGTACAATAGAGCAGATTGGACAGAACTTTCTCAAAAAGCAGAAAGAGCTGGGGCTGATGCTTTAGAATTAAATTTATCTTGCCCTCATGGAATGGGAGAATCTGGAATGGGTTTGGCTTGCGGCCAAGTATATTTTTTATGATTATAAATATAATTTACTAATATTTCATTATCAATTTATCATATAGACTTCTATATTAGGATCCTGTATTGGTGAGAAATATTTCAAGATGGATTCGAGAAGCTGTGAAGATACCATTCTTTGTGAAATTAACACCAAATATTACTGATATTGTTTCAATAGCTAAGGCAGCTTATGAAGGTTTTTTTTCATATGTGTAGATCATATATGTAATTAAAATATTTGTCAATAATAAATATTCAAAAAAATAATTTTTTTTAATAGGTCACGCTAATGGAGTATCTGCCATAAATACTGTCCAAAGTTTAATGGGATTGCACGCGGATGCAACCCCATGGCCAGCTGTTGGAATTAAAAAAGCTACAACATATGGGGGTATGTCAGGTAATGCAACCAGACCTCAAGCTTTAAGAGCTGTTTCTGCCATTTCTAAAGCTCTTCCTGGATTTCCCATACTTGGAATTGGTGGTATTGAATCAGCAGATGTTGCTCTTCAATTTTTACATTGTGGTGCATCAGTTTTACAAGTGAGCTAGTCTATCATTTTAGTTTTTTATAAATTTTTTTATACACAATATTATATTTTGGGTGATTTTAATAGGTTTGCAGTGCTGTACAAAATCAGGATTTTACTCTAATTGATGATTATATAACTGGTTTAAAAGCGTTATTATATTTGAAGAATTTAAAACAAGTAAAAAATTGGGATGGACAAAGTCCACCAACGTTTAAACATCAGAAAGGAAAACCTGTTGTTTTACAACATGCTCTTGGCAAAGTAAATGCAAACTTTTGTTAAAATTAATAATTTAATAACAAATGTTATATTTATTAACAAATGTTTTATGTTTCAGAATATACCATATTTTGGAGAATATCAAAAACTACGGGAAGAAAAAATAGCTGAAATTAAGGCTATCTCGAATCCACTCGATAAACTCGTCAAGATTACTAGACCTAGTCCAGAACCTATTGCGGCTATACCAAGTATAAAGGATGTTATTGGCAAAGCTTTAAATTATATTGGCACATACAAAGATTTGAACAATAAAGAACAAGTAATAGCATTGATAGATGATGTACGTTTTAATCAACTTTTATTTATTTTAATTTTTATTTCTTATTTTTGTTTATATAATATATATATTATTATATATTATATATTAAGGATAAATAATTTTATGTACTAGGATATGTGCATAAATTGTGGAAAATGTTACATAGCTTGTGCCGATTCTGGTTATCAAGCAATTAAATTTGATTCTGAAACTCACATTCCAACAGTAACAGACGATTGTACAGGTTGTACTCTTTGTCTTTCAGTATGTCCTATTATTGATTGTATTACGTAAGTTGTTTATATATTCACATATATATGTATAATATATTATTAATATATTAATATTATATATTTATTAAAAAACTTATAATTATTTAACTTATTTTTCAGTATGGTACCTAAAAGGATACCTCATGTTATTAATAGAGGAGTACCATTAAAAGAATGTTTTAATTTTGAAATAGAATAAAATTCTATTATCTATGATTTTATATTTATTGCTTACTTAAAAAAGTAAAAAGAAAATATTTAAATATCTTATATGAATAAGTACTATAACTATATCAGTAAGTTATAAATATCAATAATATCAGATCTTAATCACTGAATAGTCTTATTATATATTGATAATAAAACATAAAATATTAATAATAAAATATTTTATGATTTATATTATGTATTTCATTTTAGTTTTAACTTTTTTTTATTCACTATTAGTTTCTATATGTAATATTAATATTTTTTTATTAATATCTAAATAATTAATAAAGCAATTTATTTTTTTGCTTAACATTGTATTGCTAACTTTATTAATGTTTAAAAAATCTGAATTATCAATTATTATCAAATTATATACGTCTAATAAAATAAAATTATAATTATATTCTTCATCTATTAATTAACATTTTTTATCAACTTTTAACATCTAAAATTTAATAATAGCAAATATCATATCAAAAATATTTTGCAACAAACAAATAAAATGTCATAAACAAAATATATAAAATAATGTTATTTGAATTTTTTGTTAACTTATCTCAATTACTATTAATAAATCTGTTATAAAATACAATTATTTAAATATTTACTTTATATTATTTAAATCAAATCATATATATATATATATATGATATATATTATATGATAAATATAACATATATCTTATATATCTATAATAAACTATATGAATATGGATCTTTTTTTAAAATTAGGACATTTTTTAATTTTAATTTATAAAAGAATTGCACAAAAAACAGATATATGTACAAATTATAATATATGCATTTATGTTGTATCACTTGGTGATTCACTCGAGTTCAATCCATTTTCAGTAATACATTCATCTGTATCTGAAGTTTGTTGATCTTGCAAGGCACGTCGTTTCTGAAGTCTCGTACAACGTGGACAACAGTGGTTTTGTTTCGACCAACATGCACGATGATGAACTGCTGTACATTGATGGCAACTAATAGAACTTGCATCCCATGGATATATAATTTCATCATTACCACACAATTCACATAAGTGACCTCTGTAAATTAATATTTAAAATTTTAATTGTAAAATGATTTAGATAAAATATCCATTCGTCAAAATTTACCTTGCTTTACATAATTCACATTGTTCTGTGATATGAGTATGCATAGTATCATATGCAGCACGAATTTCTTCTAAAAGCATTCCATTATTCAAATCAATGAGATCTTTAATTGAATAATTTCCCGAATTTTCTATCATATGAGTACGTATTCCAATTTTCCATGGTAATCCTTTATTATTAGCCTCCGGACACAAAACTAAATAACGTTTCATCATTTGCATTTCCTCCCGCATCCTCTGTTTATTATTTACTTTGAATTATAAAATAATTAATTTTTAAATACGAAGTTATAGTTTATTTTACCTTTACTACAGATAAATCTGGAACTAAAGTAAACAATTTTGGATTTAAGTCTTCAAGTAATAAAACAGAACGTTCTTCTAAAAGTGTTAAAAGTTGTGCAGCAACACGAGATACAGGTCGTGATTCCATATCCCAGTTTCTAATTACTCTTGCAGGAATTACCATTGCAGTATTCCAATGACATCTTTGACAATAATATAATCCTGTATAGTCACAAAGTCGTGGTTCAATCCATGCTGATTCTACATTTATAAATAACATATTAAAAGAAATATTAATATATAAAATAAATTTTTGATTTGTAACCCAAATTTTCGAAATTTTCTTTTTTTTATATGTGTTACCTGTATTCTTAAATGGACTGCCAAAACAAGATAAGGATAATCCTTTTGAGAAAGCTTGTAATAAAAATATAATTTATCTACATTGTAACAATGTTAAATGTTTTATTTTTATATCTTATATATTTAAAGTGATAAATTACACTTCTTCAAAGAATTATTTTAATTTTTAATTTTAATCTTATTTCATCTGCATTAATCAATGTTTATTAATATTTATTATGAATATACTTACTAAATGTAATTCGTACTTTGCATTCAGCACATCTATATCCTTGATTTGATAAACCCTGTTCAGGACAAATATCTTTTGTATAAGTATAACCACCTGCTTCACTAGCAACTACATGAACACACACTCTACATATATTATTTAAACATTTCCAATGGCAACAAAATTTGCAATCTATGAAAATAAAATTAAATATAATAAAAATCCATATAAAGATAATTCATAATTTTAAAGAAAATCTTACCATTGCACATATACCATGATTGAAGCATAGTCCAAATAGCTCCACTACAATGATCACAATATACAGGTCCAGAAGTTGTTATATAATATTTCTGTGGTATTAAGTGATGTCCTAAAATTACTTGTGTTTCAAGCAAATTTGCTTCTGATGATTCTCTAAATTCTTGTACTCTTAAGCGTAATTCAATTAAACGTCTAACAAGCCATTTTCGCTCATCTGAACATTCTGCACTTTCTAATACCATTTGTTTACATTTTTCTATCATGTCTTTAAGATATTCTTCAGAAGTAGCCTGTAATATAATATATTAATATAAATATAAAAATATTTATAAAATATAATATAATTATATAAAGAATAAAAAATTATTATAAAAATTTATTAAATTTATTTTATACCTTGGATAATGAAAGCACTGTTTCTACTGATTTTAAACTAAAAGGTATAACAGCTTTGCTATCTGAACTATCATCTGCTTCTCCTGTCATATAATCAGATGATGAAGAAGGTGTTGATGGCATTGTATCGGAACTGTCAGTTCTAATTCTTGACTCTTGATTACAATTATATGTTCCATTTACGTTATTTTTTATATCTATCATTTTTTATTAGATATTGTAATCAATTATATATATATATATATATATTAAAAATATTTTCATTTACTTCTTCTGTTAATTCCTATGAATTATGTTATTAAATGAAATGCTACATTTATTTATAATCGAATTTTTGAAATTCATTAATTTTTTATTTGATATTTCAATTCTCCTAAATATTTAAATTTTTTTAAATAAAAATAATATTTTCGTTTATCATAATTATTAATGGATAAGATTTTATAAGTACAAGAAATACAAAAAAATACAAAAATACATTTTAAAAATCATAATTTATTAATTATAAACTATGTATTTAGTTTTTTCTATTTGTTATTGTATATTTGATATATATTATTTAATATATTTATTCCATATAAATCTATAAACGTATTAAATAATATATATAATTATAATTTAAAATTTAATTAAAACTAACTAACTTATTTAACTATTAATTTAACTAACATTTAACTAACTTACATTGATATAATATTACGTATTATATTTTGATTCATCATTATTTAGGTATATCAATTACAACAATTATTAGATATGTGTAAATTAGATTTTTATGTTAAATTTATGTACTTATTCAATGACATCTGTCAATACAAACGTCAGTACACAATATAGAAATTTTAACTTACTGTTTCTAATGTCTTTGATAGCCATTTTGTCTCGATATCTGACAATTTTGCTATAGTACGCATTATTTACCAGATAAAGTGATAAATAATATTGTGAATTTCCATTTATACTAAAAAAAAATTATTTATTAATAAAATAGATTTGCGTTTCTTAATACAAAAATATGTAGTTAATTCGTAGAAAAATAGGAAAAAAAGAAAATGAAATATTATAACCTTAATACGTATTTATTTAATTTTTTATAAACCGTTATAAGGAATTAAATCTTAAAAAAAATATTAAAGTTATATTATATTAAAAATAAATATAAAAATTTTTAATTTTATTTGTATATGTTTTATAAATATTATTACAGTTTAATAATAAGTTGTAATAATCATGAATACAAAAAAGGCAATAACTTTTGGTAAAATTAATAAAAATTTAACTCGAGATATGACGAAAAATACAGAAACTGTAAGTTCTGGATTTGGTACATTTGGCAAAAAATCATTGGAGACTAATATAACAAAAATGAATGAAATTAAACCTGAAGATGAAGAAGAGTCTCAAAATTTGAAACAAGTTATGGGCATAACAGGTTTTGGTAAGAAGGCTAAATCTTTTGATGTACAAGAAATGTTGGAAAATATTACAAAAACTATTAATAATAGTAAAGTAAGTAATGTAAATATAAAATCTATTGAAAAAGAAAATCTATCTAAAACTATATTCGCAAAAGAAGAAACTAAAGATATTGATATTATTAATAACGGAAATATTAATGATAATGAAGAAGATGATGATTTTATTGGACCTCCAATACCTCCTGAACTTCAAAATTCAATTAATTTAGAACAATCTACGAAAGTAAAAGATCAAAATGACAATGAAAGTGATGAAGATGAAGAACAATCTGATACAGAAGAAGAATTACAATTAAAAGATAAAATTCCATGCAGTCATGAAGTTACAATGACTCATGGAACAAAGGCAGTAACAGCTATTGCAGCAGATCCTTCTGGAGCAAGATTAGCTTCAGGTTCTATTGATTATGATGTTTGTTTTTGGGACTTTGCTGGCATGGATTCATCAATGAGAAGTTTTCGAACATTGCAACCTTGCGAAAACCATCCAATCAAATGTCTACAATACTCAATGACTGGTGATGTTATATTAGTTATATCAGGTTCTGCACAAGCAAAAGTTTTAGACAGAGATGGTTTTGAAAAATGTGAAACTGTGAAGGGTGATCAATATATAACAGATATGGCACGTACAAAAGGTCATACAGCAGGATTAAACAGTGGTTGTTGGCATCCATTCACAAAGGAGGAATATCTTACTTGTTCACAAGATAGTACATGTAGAATATGGATTTTATATAGACCACGTGCACATAAACATCTAATAAAGTGTAGAGCACAAAATGGTGTTAAAACCATACCAACCACATGTGGCTACAGTAGAGAAGGTAACGTAGTTGCTTGTGGTTGTGTAGATGGTTCTATACAGATGTGGGATCATAGAAAAAATTTTGTTAATCCATCATTGATTCAGAGAAATGCACATGCACAAGGTGCTGAGATATCAAGCCTAAGCTTCTCTTATCTTGGACAAATGCTTGCAACCAGAAGTTGTGATGATACATTAAAGCTTTGGGATTTAAGAGCATTTAAAACACCTATTTTTGAAGCAAAAAATTTATATTCTAGATATGATACAACCGATTGTATGTTTAATCCAGATGATTCAATTCTTATTACAGGAGAATCTTTAAGTAAAAATCAAAATACTGGTAGAATTTTATTTTATGATACAAAAACTTTTGATCTAATTAATGCAATAAATGTAACAAATTCACATGTTATTAAAACATTATGGCATCCAAAATTAAATCAAATATTTGTTGGTTGTGGAAATGGAATAGTTAAGGTATATTACGATTCTAAGAAGAGTTTAAGAGGTGCAAAATTATGTGTTATAAAAACGCATTTAAAACAAAAACATATCGAAGTAATGTCAACTCAACAAATTATTACACCACATGCACTTCCATTATTCAGACAAGACAGGCCTAAATCTATTCGTAAACAAATGGAAAAAGATCGTTTAGATCCCGTTAAATCGAGAAGACCAGATTTACCAATTACTTCTGGACAAGGTGGAAGAGTTGCTTCTTCTGGTGGAACACTTAGCTCTTATGTAATTCGCAATTTGGGACTTAGTAAAAGAATAGAAGACGATCAAGATCCACGAGAAGCCATATTAAAATATGCAAAAGTAGCAGAAGAAAATCCATATTGGATTGCGCCAGCATATAAAAAAACACAACCACAAACGATATTTCAAACGGATGAGCAGGATGGTGCATCAAGTGCAAAGAAGCAAAAAACTTAAAAAAATATAGATGTTTTGTAAAAATTTTTATATTATTCATCAATAGTTTTTTTGTACAAAAATTTTTCGTTTAAAAAAAAGTATAAATATAATAAGAACTTCGTTCATTCACGTTTTGATTAATATTTGTAGTTGATCGCAATTTGAAAAAATTTAATACTATGTATATAAAAATATTTATTTTAACTTAATTGCAAAAAAATTTATCATTATCATTATTATATAATGATTTATTATTTTAATATTTTATTATATTAATTAAATTGTAATGTATTATTCTTTATTATTCATTATTATAATGCACATACAGTATACATACAATGTTCTCTATTATCGGCAATGTTGCAACTTATTCCTTGTGTGGGATACAGAAATATTATTGTATTATATTAATAAATAAAATAAATTATAGCTATAAAATCGAAGAAAAATAATTTAATGAACAAATTAAATCACACTTCCATTTTTTAAAATATATATTCTTAATATATGACGTTATGATGATGTTTTAAACAATTCAAATTTAGTGATAAACGATTCAAATTTATGTTTGTAATAGTTTTGTTATTGAAAATATCGAAAAAAAATAACGAACTACATAGTATCATCACCGCAAAATTATAAAAATGCATGCACGTCAAATTTAATGGATATTATTTTTATGTAAAACAACGTAACTATATAAATTGTTTAAGTGCGCGAATTGACTCTGTTATATATATATATATATATATATATATATATATATATATATATAATATAT